TATTTCTTCCAACATCATTATGCAGTATAAGAAACGCGTGAATAATTATATTTTCCACATTAATAGATCATTTTATCATGCTTAATTCCTTTGTTTTTAATCAATCATGGAATTTCATATTAAAGTTAATGAACTAAAACAGTATAGTTCTACTTGCTTTCATATATATCAGTGGTTCTCAACCTGTGGGTCGGGACCCCTTCGGGGATTGAATGACCCTTTCACAAGGGTCACCTAAGATCATCGGAAAACACATATTTTTGATGATTTTAGGAACCGAGACACCAATTTTATGGTTGGGGGTCACCACAACATGAGGAACTGTATTAAAGGGTCGCGGCATTGGGAAGGTTGAGAACCACTGATATATATGAAAGCAAGTAGAACTATACTGTTTTAGTTCATTAACTTTAATATGAAATTCCATGATTGATTAAAAACAAAGGAATTAAGCATGATAAAATGATCTATTAATGTGGAAAATATAATTATTCATGCGTTTCATATACTGCATAATGATGTTGGAAGAAATACAAACTTACACTTCAGGTGAATAATAGGCATCTAGATAGACATATATTCTGGAAATTATGGGTACTGAAGATCCAAAAGGATGTCAAGTCATTGATATCATACAATAAATTTATGAAAATTAGTTCTATTTACCTGTCCTCTTTATTTTAGCATATGTATTCCTTCCTGTTTACAGATCTTGCTCCTGGTGGCTCAGATGATTGGGCTTATGATGAGGGTATAAAATATGCCTTCACCTTTGAACTTCGTGACAAAGGCCGATATGGTTTTGCTCTTCCTGAATCTCAGATAAAGCCAACTTGTGAAGAAACTATGATTGCTGTTAAATATATTGCTCAACATATCCTTAATTAGCAGTACTTAAAAAAAGCTTTCAAGCTGAATAAATAAAATATAATGCAGAATTGCTTTTGTACATTTTCTGAATTTTCTTTGCCACCATAACATAGAACATAGAATAGAGTTGGAAGGAGTCATGGAGGTTTTCTAGTACAAATCTCAGCTCAAAAAGGGTACCTTATATCATTCCAGACAAATGGCTGTCCATTCTCTTTAAAAATCTCCAGTGATGGAGCACCAGTGGTGGGTTGCAGGCGGTACGTGCCCTGCCTGGAGCACTGGATACTGTTCTGGTAGGGTGCTCCAGAGGGCCCACCCACCCGCCTGAGCTCCTTACCGGTCTTTTAAGTCTTCGGAGCTTCCGCGCATGCACACGGCGCATATAGTGCCTGAGCAAAACTCCGCTGAGCAGCTGGAGCGTCATGGAGGCTCGCGGAAGCAGTAAGATGTGTGTGCGTGCTGCACACATCCATGTGGACAACGCCAGGATTTGGAACCAACCACTGTGGAGCACCCACAAGTTCTTGAGACAAGTTATTCAATTGGTTTATTGCTCTCATCGTTAGTCCTAAATTGCTTTTCACCTTGGTTAGTTTCCATCCATTGTTTCTTGCCTTGCCTTCTGGTGCTTTGGAAAATAGTTTGACACAC